ACTTGTTCATGCTATTATGTAGCGATGATATTATTACAGAAGACCCCTGACTGTGATAAAACTGACCAGGGTTCTGATAATAGCAGGATTGTGGTGATATTTAGCGCTGTGCGCCATGGAGGGAGGGAGGGTGGTGGCGATGTCTTTTGACTGTGTGTGGCCACCTTTTATTGACTGCACTCAGCATACCAGCTTAGTGGTTCGCTATGGTGAACACAAATGTAGATACTTATATATAACGTGCGTATAGAGGGTATAAACAGCAAGAGAAGGTTTGGAGCCGCCATTTTGGTGAGGGCGGTGGCGTCGTCTGCACGACGCCACCGTGCAGACGACGGTGTTGTTTACTGGTTACCACGATGGTCTTTGGGCACCATACCAGTTTATTTGTACAAGTATGATGAATAAAACAGGTAGATATTTATATATAATGTGTGTATATAGCGTAATAACACCACACAGTATTGTTGGAGGAGAAATATTAGTGCGTCTGGCCTTGAGGGCGGCCGCCGATCAGCTGACTGTGTGAGTAGCCACATCTTTGTGCCTTTACTCACCATACAAGCTTAGATGTACAGTTATGGTGAACAAAACATGTAGATACTTATATATAACGTCTGTATATAAGATATATAGCGTAATAACACCACACAGTATTGTTGGAGGAGAAATATTAGTGCGTCTGGCCTTGAGGGCGGCCGCCGATCAGCTGACTGTGTGAGTAGCCACATCTTTGTGCCTTTACTCACCATACAAGCTTAGATGTACAGTTATGGTGAACAAAACATGTAGATACTTATATATAACGTCTGTATATAGTGAATTATAGCAAAAACATTATTGTGGGAGGAGAATGTGGGTGAGTCAGATGACTGGAGGGAGGGCGGGAGTGGCTGGCTGGTACACGGCGGTCACTCCTCGTTACTTTTTGACTCATAATAGCTACTTAGTGGTTCGTTATAGTGAACAAAACATGCAGATACTTATATATAACCTGTGCTTATAATGTAATAACCGACAAAGTATTTGTTCACTGATTGATGAACATAATTTAATCAACACTATGCACACCATATTTTTGAGTACAGCAATGATTCACTCATTTTATTATATAAATATATCAAACTACACACTATTGAATAATATTACAGCAAAAAAAGTATGAAAAATCAATCAGAGACATTGAAATACTTCGGTAATTATCTCTTTGTGGCAACTCCGGCCTGACAGCTTGCGAGCAACAGACCGCCTGGGACGCACGCTGAGTCAGCGCCTATAATTTGCCAGACTTCACAGCCCTATAGCGGGCAATATATGCCACTTACGATTTTTTTATTATTTTTCCCGTGATCAGTGAACACAAATTAACAGGTTAGAAAGAAAAAATAATTTTTTTTTTTCAAAATGACATGCGCCTGTGGGGATGACAGGATATTAACCCTCAAACCGCTAGAGGCCCAAATGGAATTCACACCCACAGGCGCAACAAAAAAAAAAAAAATCCAAAAAATTCTTTCGTCTTATAGAAGTGTTCATTTTTGTTCCCTGATCACGGACAAAATAACAAAAAAATCGTAGGTGGCATACTTTAGCCGCAATAGGGTAGGGAAGTGTGGCAAAAAAGGGGTGTTGGCAGAGCCTTCGCCAGACGAGGTCTACTCCACCCGAGCTGTCAGACGGCAGTTGCCACAAATATATTATTACCTAATTATTTCAATGTCTCTGAATGATTTTTTCTTAGTTTTTTTGCAGTAATATTATTCCATACAGTGAATTGTGGTATATTTATATTATAAAATGTGTGAACCATCGCTGTACTCAAAATTATGGTGTGCATATTAGTGATTCAATTATTATGTTCATAAAACAATAAACAAATAGTTTTGCTGTTGTTACACTATATACACATGTTATATATAAGTATTTGCATGTTTTGTACACCATAACGAACTACTAAGTTGGTCTTGTGAGTCAAAAAGCAACGAGGAGTGATCGCCAAACACCAGCCAGCCACTCACTGCCACTCCCTCCCTCAACACCACCTCACTCACCCTCATTCACCTCCCACAATACTCTTTCTGTATATATTCACTATACACAGACGTTATATATACGTATTTACATGTTTTGTTCACCATAACTGTACATCTAAGCTTGTATGGTGAGTAAAGGCCATAAGACGTAGCTACTCACACAGTCAGCTGATCGGCGGCCGCCCTCAAGGCCAGACGCACTAATATTTGTCCTTCAACAATATTGTTTGTGGTGTTATTACGCTATATACACACATTATATATAAGTATCTATCTGTTTTATTCACCATACCTGAACAAATAAACTGGTATGGTGCCCAAAGACCATAGTGGCCATCAGTAAACAACATGCCAAGTCGTGCAGACGACGCTCCTCCCTCACCAAAATGGCGGCTCCCAACCTACTCCTCTCGCTGTTATCTCACACTATACACACGTTATATAGAAGTATCTACATTTGTGTTCACCATATCGAACCACTAAGCTGGTATGGCTGGCAGTTTTATCACAGTCAGAGGGCTTCAGTAATACTATCACTGCTAAATAATAGCAGTATCATTTATATTATGGTATTTGTAGGCGATGCTGTGGTCACAAGCTGAACAGCGGTGCTGTGAGCTCGTGCTGTGTGCGCCAGCCTTGGTGACTTGCTCAATACTGACGCTGTAACACCCAAGAATGTTGGCCTGGATTTTTTTCCTAGGTGGCATCTGGCAACTATCGGTCGTGGCTGTACTATAGCTGCCCCTATCCCAGGCGGGGCGTTTAAATTATAGCGCTAGACACGAAATCATATATAAATGATGTGCGCGGTTTCGGTTTTGTCACTGATATCATTTATATATGATATGCGCGGTTTGAGGGTTAAACCCCGAGCATGTTAAGGGTTAAATCGAGTTTATCAACTGTTTCAATGTCCCAACTGTTTCAATGTCTTTGTGGAACTTTGTGTGTGCTCCTTCAACAGTAAGGAAGTAAGCAAGCGTTTCTGTTGTGGAGCCTGCAGGACGACTCTGTGTACTCAAGCCAGGACTAGAAGAAACCTTGTGAAGCAGTCCTATAGCGATTTTTGTGGGGCGGCCTGTTTGTGAGCGCCATGTTGAGGGCAGTGAGTGAGCGTCCTATGTTATAAATCCCTGCAGTAAGCCTGTTTAATCGTTCGTTAGATTAGCTACTGGTGTTTGATCGTGTGCCCAGCAGTCATAGTGAACATTTGTATATATTGGGGTAGTAATTTTATTGAGCTAAAGTAGTTAAAATTAGGAGGATATGCTGGAGGCAACAGCGGTGCACTCTCACTCTCCTGTGTCTGGTGAGCAACAGAGGGGTGGCAGCCCCCAGTGATGCGGCTGGAGGGGTCCTGAAAGGACCAGAACAGATGCCGCAACCAAACCCAACCCAGCGGGTAAATGAATAACTGGACCTGGGACAGAGTGGTCCTCCGAAAAGAGGGGAAAAGAATCCAGGGGGGTTCAGATGGGACAAGTCCAGAATGAACTGCAGATCCGCAGCCCTGCTTCGGTATTGGAAACAGGCGGTAAACATTCTGAGGGATGAGGTCGTTTTGACCACACCCAAGTACACCCACTCCAGTATGACCCGACAATGCAAAGGGGAAGAAACCTGCCCCGCCAGCCCAGAACCCCCCAGAGGGGGAGGAGCCACCCAATGCCACCTCAGGTCGGAGGGCACTACTTGAAATGCCCCCAAATCGTGGGACCAAATGTGGGCAAACAGAGCCAGTTCCGTCAATGCCCTGTCACCAGAGCAACCGGCGAAAGGGCAGGCGGCCCTTCCGAATAAATGACTTGCGAGGTCATTTTGCTTTGGAGGTCAAACAGGATTCTGATGGCCCAGAATTTACTGAATATTCCAGGTCCTTGGCACTCTTGTGTGGACTTGGGTCATGTCTCTTAGCAGGAAGTCTCATCCTCATTCTAATTCCTGCAGTGCTTCCTCCTTCAGGGCAAGTTCCCATGTTTCCTTCCTTCTCCATGAATATTTAACTTCAGAACCAGAAGCGGCTCCCCACAGAAAACCAGCACTGAATATAAAGAAATGCAAAATTCTGGACAAGCCCCAGTGGCTAACTGATTACCTCCCTCCCCTCCACCCAGTGGCTAACTGATTACCTCCCTCCCTCCCACCCAGTGGCTAACTGATTACCTCCCTCCCTTCCAAGTCATTGAGTGGATGCCTACATCTGCCCAAGAACTAAGCTTGGGGACGCCAGCTGGCAGTGGGCTACCCCTCTCCAAAATGAGTGAGGGAGGTGGGGTGAATGAGCTTGCGCTAGTTCGGGGACAATTCAATCATTTGTTTGCATAGAGTTTTTTCTGCTGGTTTTGAGGCTTCAGTCTCATTTTAATCTAGCAGTAGTTTGTTTTGACCCAATGACTTCCTTCTTGCCTTCCCCAGTGAGGTGGCCAAACTAAATGTCACAGCTCCCTTCACTTCTGTGAGGGGGGGGGGGGGTCCTGGTTCTGGCTCTGGTCCCCAGTAAGCCTCTAGAACTCTATGGCTGATGTGACCAAGTAGATGGTAACCATCTCGGCATTTAGATTCAGGGAACAACCGGGGCTCACCCAGAAAATGACGTGTCATTACATTCAACACTTTTTTAAATTCTCTAGAGAACTAAACTCATTAACAGTTTGCAGCTCAGTATGAACTGGAAGAAAATGACATTGGTTAGCTTAAAATATCACTAGCTGATCATTAAGTCAAGATGTACATAACACTAAGCTGACTGCAAGTTTAACTAATAAGAATTGGCATAACTCTAAAATTGCATAATGTTGATTATTAATATTTTATTTAACCACTGTAATTTTCATAAGAATTTAGTTAAACAGTATACAGTATTTGAATACAATTTCTCAAACAAAACCCAATTAAAGATTTTTAATAAATATGGGATTTTGGAGGAGAATGGGTTATAAAATCTCTCCGTCCAAGCATACATACATGCAATGGGTGGTGGGTCCCAAACATTTAGTAGGTCTTCTTCTTCTTCGTAAAGATCAAGAAGGTGAACAGCAGCTTCATGACCAAAGTGCAATACCTCTGTCAGAGCAGATTTTTTCTTAAGATCCCGACACATACGCTGCTGCCGCATTGCCTCCTCATGAACTAGTACCGACTCACGACAATGAGCCAGACCTTGTAGGATGAAGGAAGATATTTGTTAGGATTTAACAAACTTCTAGAAATTATTGTGTATACCAAAAACACTGTACTATCAAAGTTTTAATGTTCATTATGCCCATTTATACTGAAATGAATGTTTTGTAATATGACTGTATCCCCCCATGCTCTAAATAAACTATACATAAAACATTACCCCACATCAACAAAGTGGTAAAATGCAAACGGGCATCACCAGAGGGCCTACCCAGACAGGAAAAGGCAAGGACCAAGCCTTGGTTGACCCCCTCCCCTCCCCTTCACACTGCAGAAACAGAACCCAGTAGCAAAAAAACACCATTGAACATAATGAAACACCAATTTCAAGATAAGCCCCCTGAGGCTCCTCAAGAAAACCATAGGGGTTGAGGCTGCAAAGACACAATCACCCCCCCCCTTAAATAAAGCAGAAAAAACAGCTACAGTCAGAAACCAAAAGGAAAAAATGGATACGGAAGGGGAGTTCCTCTCCCATCTGGAAAAGGAAATAGGCCATATCTAAACATGGGTGAGGGTAACTCGCTAGCAAGCCACTGACCCACAGAGAACCCACTGCAGCCCAATTGCAGAATGTCAAGCAAAGAAATTCCCCAACCCTAAAAAGTAAAAGGGCAATAGACAAGATCTGAGCAACCCAAGGAAAAGGTGCCCAGACACAGCTGAACTATCTTCACCAACAAGAGGAGAATGGTCGAGGACTGCATACACCACACCAAGCCCCCGAAGGAAGAAAGAACACCCACAATCCAGGGAAAGATCTTGACCCCAAACCCAATGGATACCAAAACCCTGGAAAAAAAACCAAGGCAAACCCGCCCACACCAACACCGAGAACAGACAAGCTGGTGAAACCAGCAGAAAAAGGAATGAATTCAGGGAACTGGAATGACCCCAAATCATACACACGGAGTAATATCCAAGGAACAAGCTCAACCAGCTACAGGGGATACAAAGAAACTCCAGTGGTGCTGTGAATGGATTTAATGGCTTTAATTATCTTATTAATGTTTGAAGAATACAAAAATTATTTGTGGATGGCACCAAAGACCAAGTAAGCAGAAGGGGCCCCAATGAAACCACCTGAGGCTTTCTTCCTTCCCCCAGAGTCCCCACATAAAAGCAAAAACCTTGACACAGAGCCAGGATCCATGCCAGACATATGACCCACATGGGAGAACCCACATCCATGCTTATGTAAACACACACAGACCTCAAATGGGAAACTAGCTACAGGTAATTCCCTCATTTTTTCCTCTCAATCTTTATATAACTTTTTTGAAAGTATTTTAAACGACTTGTTTCCAAATAAATTGCAGCAGGTAATTTTATCATCCTTCAACCCCTTCTCCCTAGAAACAATGGGTAAGCAAAATAAAACACCATACAACTGTTCATACTTAGGTGAATGACAACCACCTCCAATGCTCGATCTCGGTGACCACTTGGATGAACAATCCTCACAATGTAACATTTATATGTTCCACTGAACATTTAGTACCGAATGCAATTTGTTCGGACCATCTGGGAATTCGTTAGTGAGTGAGTTCGTTAGAGTGAAGATGCACTATTAAATTTCAAGCTGGAGGATAAAATACAGTCATACAAACTATGCTTATCCCATAATAAATAATATGGATGGTAGGAACAGATTTGATATTATTACAACAATGTTTACATAATTAAAATATGGATAAATCACAACACACGTGTAAACTGGCTATTAGACAATCATTATACTTGCCGAGAAGGGTACGTTCTTGATGGTTGGTAGGAACGCTAATTTCTAAGGTAGTATTGCTAACAGGTGGCAGGTGGACAAATTGCAGAGCATTCTGAACCCTAATGCTAAGTTGCTCCTGATCTCTCTCGTCAATGGGGAGAGTAAGCAATGCTTCAGCCATACGGTAATGGGCACGACCTCGATAATATTCTGCCTTTATGTGAACCATGCTGATCCATGAGGCTGGTACATAGTCCTTCACTGATGCACCCGAGATTGTTTTCAACACCTGATAAGTAATATGTTAAATATGAGCCATTTGGAATGTTCAATAAACAAATTTTTTACCTTTTCTGGTTTCTTATTTTCTTACATACACAATCATAAATATAGATGATGTGTTACTACATTAACTTTTTAATGTATACTTTAATTTTTAAAACAATATGCTTGTAAAAGAAACAATAAATATCAACAATTTAAAAGTGCAAATGTTTTACTGGTGCACGAGTAAACACGACACTGCAAGTTCAAGAATTTATTCATGATAAATATGGAAAAGGGTAATGCTTATTAACCCCTGCACTCTGCACCTGTTTTTGGCAAAAATGTCATATTGTAACTGTTAAGGACATATTTTTGTTGTTTTTATAAATGTTCATGTAAAGTTAATGTCAAAATGTTTCCAAACTCAACCATTTTCCTTTCAAATCACAGTAAGAAGTTCTGCGCATTTAAGTGGTTAAACCTGAAAAATAATAGTATAAAGAATAAAAAGAACCCACCATTACCTGGACAAGAATATAAGGAATTACCTGTGAATACTCGTGACAAAAAAAAAAAAACAGCGCTGAATGTAATGAAACGCCATTTTCTGGGCGAGACCCAGAGGCTCCCTGGAGCTATACCAGGCTGATATGCTAATGTCAGACTTTGGCATCAGTCATGTGTATGGAGTTCTTAAGGCCTACCGGGGACCATGGCCAGAACCTGGCCCCCTCAGAGAGGCAATGGGGAGCAATGGCCTATAGAAACCCCCGTGTGGTTGGAAGCATTCTATGTCTGCCATCGACCGGGTCAAACATCCAGAAAGGCATCCCAAAAGCAAACCCCTATTCTGGTAAAAATTGCTACCAAAAGCTGAACTAGTGGATAGAACTCCCCAACAGAAAACAAGCAAACAAGTATGATGTCACACGTCACCACGACTCTGTCTGCACAGTTCCCCCCTCCCCGGGACAGGGAAGGGGGAGCCCCAGACCTCTCATGCCAACTATCCACCCATCAGTTCTGAGGCTGGATGTCAAAACACACGAAAAACCGTCGACCGGGAGGGAGGGAGGGTTGCCAGGGAGCCTCCAGGTCTCACCCAGAAAATGCCATTTCATTACATTCAACGCTGGTTTTCTAGGGGAAGCCCCGTCAGCTCCCTGGAGCTAACTACCCACAGAGGATGGTCAAAGGGACTAATCCGGGAGTCGAACACCACGCACTCCTCAATGGAAAGCGAGACAACTGGCTGCAACCGCCCACCCCAAGGCGACACAGGCTCAAACGAGCCCGGGAATGACACAAGACAACAAGCAGCCAGACCCCTGTATGACCGCCAAAAAGCCCAGTGCACGAAGTCAGCAAGAACACGCCGCCAAAATGGCAGCAAGAGCAGCAAAGCCACGAATGCCACGGACAAAGAACACAGGCTTGCTAGCCGCATTAACACGGCGGACGACCTGGGACACCTTCTCACGCGAACAGGGAAGAACGGAACCAGATCAACCGAAAGCGCGCCCAGGACACAGAAGCCGCGGCACACAAATAACAGTGGAGGGCCGCAACTGAACACAAAACACAACACACCCCCGGCCCGACCAACCAAGCACCAACAAACCAAGGACCCCCCCCCCCGAACGCTGCAGCCTCACCCTGTGCCAGAAAAGAGGGAGACGGTTGCAACTGAACAAACCAAACGTCATGACCGAAGGAGAGCAAGAAGCTCAGCGACCCGAGCCCTAGAGGCAAACGCCAACAGGAAAAGAGCCGTCAAAACAAACCCGAACCGAAGGGGCCACCACCAACCGAGGAGAAGAAAAAGCACGCTGTCCTGAGAACAGGACGGCCCAAGCGGCCCAAGAACAGGCCGGAGGTGAAACAACGCACGAGACAGCCTACGAACGGCACAGATGTAACACCAAGACCGAAAGCAAGCCGAAGTGACTCCGCCAGCGCTGCACAAAACGAGGAGACAGTATGCGGCAAGTCAACGGCCCCCAACCCCCACCAGAAAAGCCAAGCCGACACCAACAAACGCAGCCACCTAAGAAGGGACAGAAGGAAAAGTAAGGACTGCCAAATTACCCCATTACTGCTGCCAAGAAAAGCACTCAGGTGGGACACCAACTACGAAGCCACCCGACCACTTAGCAAAGGTGAGAGACTCGAGGCAGAACCCAACCAGCCCCGTCAAGGTTCATCCAAGCCTAGGAAGAGGCAGAGCCGCAGGAAGATCTCGGGCGCGTCCACCGAGGAGGCAGAGCCGGAAACCCAAGCCGGCAAAGACGGAGACGGAATGTCTGTTGAACAGAAAACCCCCCCAACTCAAGCGAGCTCGCCAGGAGACGAGAAACTACGAGCCCAACGCGAGACCCCAGAGAAGGAAGCACACGCGCACCAGCAACATGCACCACATGCAACACGCAACAGGCAATATGCAACATGTAATCTTGAGGTTATCTTGACATGATTTCGGAGCTTTAGTGTCCCCGCGACCCAGTCCTCGACCAGGCTTCCATCCCCAGGAAGCAGCCCATGACAGCTGACTAACACCCAGGTACCTATTTTACTGCTAGGTAACAGGGGCATAGGGTGAAAGAAACTCTGCCCATTGTTTCTCGCCGGCGCCCAGGATCGAACCCGGGACCACAGGATCAAGTCCTGCGTGCTGTCCGCTCGGCCGACCGGCTCCCAATGCATGCAACATGTAACATGTAACAGGCAACATGGAACTGAAAGGAATGTCTCGCAGCGAAGGCAGAGAATGGCGGAGCCTGGCTCCAGACAGGGTCAAAGGTAGATACGAAAGAGCCCAGCAGGCCCCAGGAACCCGCACACTAAGCGACCGACAGTGGAGAGGCGGGACCAAGAGTCAAAGCCCAACCCCTGGTTGATACCTGCTTGATGGGGTTCTGGGAGTTCTTCTACTCCCCAAGCCCGGCCCGAGGCCAGGCTCGACTTGTGAGAGTTTGGTCCACCAGGCTGTTGCTTGGAGCGGCCCGCAGGCCCACATACCCACCACAGCCCGGCTGATCCGGAACTTCTCTTGGGAAAACCAGTCCAGTTTTCTCTTGAAGATGTCCACGGTTGTTCCGGCAATATTTCTTATAGTCGCTGGGAGGACATTGAACAACCGCGGACCTCTGATGTTTATACAGTGTTCTCTGATTGTGCCTATGGCACCTCTGCTCTTCACTGGTTCAATCTTGCATTTTCTTCCATATCGTTCACTCCAGTATGTTGTTATTTTACTGTGTAGATTTGGGACCTGGCCCTCCAGTATTTTCCATGTGTATATTATTTGGTATCTCTCTCGTCTCCTTTCTAGAGAGTACATTTGGAGAGCTTTGAGACGATCCCAATAATTTAGGTGTTTTATCTCGTCTATGCGTGCCGTATATGTTCTCTGTATTCCCTCTATTTCAGCAATCTCTCCTGCTCTGAAGGGGGAAGTGAGTACTGAGCAGTACTCGAGACGGGACAACACAAGTGACTTGAAGAGTACAACCATTGTGATGGGATCCCTGGATTTGAAAGTTCTCGTAATCCATCCGATCATTTTTCTGGCTGACGCGATATTTGCTTGGTTATGCTCCCTAAATGTTAGATCGTCGGACATCATTATTCCCAAATCCTTGACATGCTGTTTTTCTACTATGGGAAGATTCGATTGTGTTTTGTACCCTGTATTATGTTTCAGATCCTCATTTTTGCCGTACCTGAGTACCTGAAATTTATCACTGTTAAACATCATGTTATTTTCTGCTGCCCAATCGAAAACTTTGTTGACATCTGCTTGTAGTTTTTCAATGTCTTCAGCAGAGGTAATTTTCATGCTGATTTTTGTGTCATCTGCAAAGGACGACACGAAGCTGTGACGTGTATTTTTGTCTATATCAGATATGAGAATAAGGAACAGTAGCGGTGCAAGGACTGTACCTTGAGGTACAGAGCTTTTAACATTGCTTGGACTCGATTTTCTCTGATTGACTGTTACTCTTTGTGTTCTGTTCGACAGGAAATTGAGTATCCAGCGTCCTACTTTTCCAGTTATTCCCATTGACCTCATTTTGTGAGCTATCACCCCATGGTCACATTTGTCGAACGCCTTTGCAAAGTCTGTGTATACAACATCTGCATTTTGCTTTTCTTCTAGGGCTTCTGTGATTTTGTCATAGTGGTTAAGTAACTGACAGACAGGATCTTCCCGCTCTAAATCCATGTTGTCCTGGATTGTGCAATTCATTGTTTTCCATAAACCTAGAAATTTGATTCCTAATCACTCTTTCAAACACTTTTATTATGTGTGATGTTAGTGCAACTGGCCTATAATTTTTTGCCAAGGCTTTACTCCCCCCCTTGTGCAACGGAGCTATATCTGCAGATTTAAGTGCTGCTGGTATCTCCCCTGTATCCAGGCTCTTTCTCCATATTACGCTGAGTGCTCTTGCTACTGGTACTTTACATTTCTTTATGAATATTGAGTTCCATGAGTCAGGCCCTGGAGCTGAGTGCATAGGCATATTGTCAATTTCTCTTTCAAAGTCTTCCGAGTTTGTGGTAATATCCGTTATATTATCTGCAGCTTGAATGTCATTCATAAAGAAGCTGTCTGGGTCATCAACTTTCATGTTGTTTATTGGTGTGCTAAACATAGCCTCATACTGGCTTCTTAGAATTTCACTAATCTCTTTGTTGTCCTCTGTGTACGTACCTTCACTTGTAATTAACGGTTCAATACTGGTCGAGGTTTTGGATTTGGATTTTGTGTATGTGAAATAATATTTCGGATTTTTCCTTATCTCTTGTATAGCTTTCTGTTCCAATTCCATTTCCTCAGACTCTCATGATCGCTTCAACGTTTGTTCTATTTCCTCAATCTCCCTGCTTAGGCTTGTTTTCCTTGCTTGTGATAGTTGTGTCTGCCGAAGCATTTCCGTTATTTTTTTCCTTCTCCTGTAGAGTCGTCTGCGTTCTCTTTCTAGAGTGGTCCTCTTTCTGTCCCTCCTCACAGGTACGTGCTTCAAGCAGACCTTGTAAGCTTCAGCTGTCAGTTGAGCTATTCCCTGTGTGGGAGCTTTGTCGCTTAAGACCGTCTCCCATTGAATGGTTGCAAGGTCTACATTTATTTTTTCCCAGTCAATCCTCTTATTGTTGAAATTGAATTGATTGAATATTCCTTCTCGCTTGTTGGGTCTCTTAGACCTACTACCATTATTTATGCTAGTTCGCACTTCAATGAGCTTATGGTCTGAGTATGAAGTATCTGAGATTGTGATATCCCTGATTAGTTCATCATTGTTTGTGAATAACAAGTCTAGTGTGTTTTCGTTCCTAGTTGGTTCTGTAATCTGTTGATTGAGCGAAAATTTGTCACAGAATCTCAAAAGTTCTCTGACCTGTGGTTGGTTATTTCCCGGGTCATTCCCTGCTATGATATTTGTGTTTGCCATTCTCCATCTTAGACTCGGTAAATTGAAATCTCCAAGGAAGATAATATCTGGAGCTGGGTTTGCTAGGTTGCCAAGTATGTTCTCAATTTTGTGCATCTGCT